CGGTTGATGCTGGGCTAGTGGTGTTGTAGTTGAGTGCTTATATATGCATGGGCAAATGATGCTAGTTGAGCTACCAAGTATCTGGTGACCATTGTTATGATGGTGATGTGACTAGGGGATTCTTCGTGGTCTCCACATGTGACCATGAGCAAGATGTTTGATTACCGGTATGGCAGAAGGTGTCTTAGGAAGCTGGTAGAATTGGTGGAGGTCTGATATCAAGTAACCGAAGTGTTTTTGCACACCAGATACCTTCAGACTTGAGATGCAGTCCTACTCTACGCGCAGTCGTTAAGGTCGCGCTAACAACGTAGCATACCTTTCCTTTACGTCTCTCAACAATGGTGACTCCAACACCTTCTCCCAATCCTCATTCAGGATGTTTTCCAAAGTAGCAACGCCCACTCCAACAAGGGCCTTAGTCTCGTCCTCGTTCGACCATCTAACTCTAGTAGGCCAGAACGCAACATGAACTGCCCAGTACACTACCACTCGTGTCAGCCACGACCTACCAAGCGTCTCTGTCTGCTCCCGAGCTATAACATAGGCGTTCAGAAATGCACTAAGTAAACCCCTACCGCCACGAAAGCGATCAAGAAGGAACGATTCGGCAGCGAACTGACCAACATCGGTTGCACTGGTACCGCGGCGCACCAGCTCCCAATCCACAATCGTCAGCTCGACTGGCTCTTGTTCAATGTCCCGCACGAGAACATTGCCAGGCCAAAAGTCGCCGTGACAGATACATTCATCATCTACCGCGACTAAACTTCCGAATCTTTCGTTGATAACGTGAGCCAACTGAGGGTCATAACCAGATTGTGTAAGGGCGATATGTAGGCCATTGTACGGATACCGATAAATATCGACCGCAATAGGGTTATTGTCGATGCCTCGGTCTTGATCCGGTGAAGCGAGCGAGAGATGTTTTGCGGATAAATGCAGTGCAACGAGCCATCTTCCAATCTGTTCTGCAATGTATGGTATATCAAGCTTCAGGTCTGTGTAAGCGTCCTTGAGATTACGACTACCCCCATCTTCGAGTTCAAGCAGCTTGTTGGTCTCGTCGTAGTTCAACAGCCGCACCGTGTGTACGTTCGATCCGGGAAGAGTTGCGATCAAAGAGCTCTCAGAGGAAGATAGAGCCTGCAAGATTCGCGCTTCGTAGTCCATACGCTTAGGGTCGAATGCAAAGTCTTTGTTGCTATGCAAATAGGGTTCTGCGTGTTTCAAGATGCGTGTCGAGCCATCATGGTTTTTGACACGGTAGACATAGTTGGCACTGCCTCCTGAGAGTAGTTGTACGCTGATAGGTGTAGACTGATGTGCTTCGAGGTATTCTCTGACCCCCTTCTCGTTGGTAAGTTCGTGTGAAGACATGCCGGTAGAAGGCTCTTGGAGACAAGCCTACTACATAGCTTTTTGTAAACAATTGCTGCATCGTGACTTTCTCTCCTGACTCATGACAGAGATGCTGATCGGTGAAGCTGGACGCAGTAGTGACATGATTCTATATGAGTCATGTGCCAAGAGCTGAGCAGTGAGGGAAAACCTGGGCGCAGCCATTGGAGGTGGACAGTATTGGTGCTCTCACATTAAACCGGAAGTGGAATAGCATCTGCTTGCGTTCGCCCCTGCTCCCTGCGGCATCGATTCTGCCCCGCTCCACGCAATACATCTATCACACCTAGCTCCATTAATGATACATGAACGCATACAGAAGATTTTCAGTATTCTTGTCTTGGGCGCAATAGATCGCAATTTTGACCAAGCTTCCGGCTGGTAGCCCTTCGCTGCGTTTTACTGGGTTATGCGTTATCTACCACCGACCGGCATTCACTTAACGCGAAGCCGCTTCTACAATCGCAATGAATGCGCTGTATCCCACACGACTATCGGACACTGAAATCCGCCTCTTGCATATACTACCCTCTGAGTCTACGGAGTCACTAGTATCGTGTGAGCTTCGGCAGTACAAGATCGATGATATCCCCGCATATGAGGCGCTCTCTTACTGTTGGGGCGACTCAGCTGAACGTCGTGAGATAGTTTGTAATGGCGCAACACACTGGGTCACGATGAACCTGCGAGATGCGCTTGTTAGATTGCGACTAACAAATGAGGCACGGATTGTCTGGGCAGACGCACTGTGCATTGCGCAGTCTGACGAAGAAGAAAAGAGCTCTCAGGTACGCCGCATGGGTTCGATCTTTCAGTGCGCCAAACGCGTCGTTGTCTGGCTGGGTCACGTCAAAACGGAGTATGCTTTGGATATCAAGCGTGTTTTCGATGCTCTGATATGCGTCAGAGCCTTCAAAGGTGATCCCGAGCACCACTTTTCTGATTGGCGTATCCCGGATGTAGCTGCAGTCTTTGGCGGATCGCTACCATGGAATGCGCTAAATCATTTCTTTAATACCCCTTGGTTTCGGCGGATATGGTGTATACAAGAGATCAGATTAGCTTCTGACTCAATGTTCTATTGGGGAGCTGAGGAACTTTCGAGGTACGTTCCCGTGCGCTTAGCTGGATGGACGGTGGACCGTTGCCAAGGCGAGATACAACATTCACCATACGCAATCTTCGAACAATACGCTTATTATATGAACGGGCCATTCCGTGACGACAAATGTAGTCTTCTTTCAGCTCTGAGAACCTACAGAAAATGGGAAGCTACAGATCCTCGAGATAAGATCTATGGCATTCTTGGTTTGATGGAACTTGATGAGGAAAGACATATCATCAGAATCGATTATGATAAGTCAGTCCAGGATGTTTACCATGATTTGGCCACTGCAGTCATAGGATGGACTGGCGATCTTGCCCTCTTTGCCCATGTACATCATGGTGCGCACTACGACGGTGACCCAAGATACAGATCTTGGATCCCTCAATGGGATCAGACGATACATGTGCCGATTTTTCCAATAGGAAGTCTTTTGTCTCCCCCTACTCTACCAAACGGGACATATCATACGGTATCTCCGCCCGTAGACACTGCACAGCCTTATGACCGACCATTAATGGTATCCGGGTTGGCCCATCAAACAGTCTTGTATACAGGACCGCCGATAAATGGGTCCCTTGCCGACTTGCCGCATGAGAGGATAACTTTTAGAAACTATCCGCGACGGATTGTCCTAGAGTACTGGAACGAGAAGGTGCCCACAGGGTCACCTTTAGGCCGTGATCTGAGCCCCGTAATGATGTCAATGGCACGGACATTGACCACAGGAGTGGTACTTCAAGATGATACGTTGTACGAGTGCGCAACTGAAGACAATATAGCAGCATATTCCCAAAGCTTTTTAGCCTATATTCGCCTCCTCCACACGATTGCTGACAACGAGAGTGAAGGCGGCTTAACGACACAACATTTGAGCGAGGATGACGATAGTTGGAAGCTGTTTGAGGATATTATGGGAAATTGTTGCTATCGACGAAAGTTCTTTCGTACCAAGAATGGTTCCCTCGGCCTTGGACCAGCTTGTCTGAAAGAGAACGACATGATTGTAGTCCTGGAAGGGGCATATAATCCCTGTGCGCTGCGACCACAGGGCGACACCTACCTACTGTTAGGTGACGTGTACATGGATGAGATTAGGCACGGAGACCTCATCAAAGAGATTGAAGAAGGGCACAAGGAACGTCAGTATTTCTGCCTTAACTAAGGTATTGCGGGAAGGAAGTACCGCAGATACTGGTTCGATATTGTCGCTATATAGACTGCTGTTTTGGCTAATCAATACCGGAATTCACCACCTTCGACACCATTCCTCCCGCCAATATCCAACTCCAACAGGCGCGTCTTAACCCTCTGTGCAACAGCTTTCCCGAACGCGTCGACATTGTTGTAGTTAGGCATCCCCCCACTCATTGAAAGATCTGCTTTACCCCAAGGTACATCCATTGTTTCTTTACAAGCATCCTTCATCTGATTGAACATTTGGTCGTCAAATCCTCCGCCTACAACAACTGCAGCAGGTCGCTTGGCATAGTTTTGAGATCCGAGGTTGGATTGAGAGTTTGGCGGTACAGTGGACGGAGAGACTAGAAGAAGCGGAAGATCACTTGTGCCAACCGTTGGGGAAGAGATTATGTGGATTACTTCGAGACGTTAGTTCCCGTAGTAGGGAAACGCAAGGAGGATGGCAAGAAAAAGACATACCATCGTACTCAGGCATGAGGTATTGCCGAACCGCTTGTGCGAGTGGAGGATTTCTACCGCACAAGACAATAGGAATTGCAGACATGTTGGACGCGGAGGTGAATTGTGGTCGTGTTTGAGGAATGTGCGATGCTATCGAGCTCGAGCGGAGTTGGTGTGGAAAGTTTTGTAGGATGTTTCTGAACATTGGCCAGTTCAAGTTGAAGATTCAAACAATTTGCATTCTCATCTTGTTCTTATATTGCACTTCAACATTGTCGTCTATATGTCCGAAGCGGCTTAGCGTGGCTCTGGAGTAGATCCGAGGATATCATAAGGCGCCCTGGTATCCATACACTAACGAGGAATAGGATTGGCTTCGGACTGTAAGAGCGAGCGAGGTTACTCAGCTGAAGGCGAGCACCCGAGGAAGCAGATGGCCGGGTCGACAGTTCGGAGTATCAAGATACCAAAAGCGGCCACGCCTGAAACAATGATTAGTGGTAAGAAGACGATTTTGGCAACCATTAAGAATGCATCGCGCATGTTCTTTCAATTATAATAAACATACTACAATTATTACGCCGTGTCCCCAGAGATTTTCAGTACTATCACAACGCTCAGTGCTTGCGCAAATACAAGACCACCCATCCAAACAACCTGTACACAGCAACGATGACCAGAAGATACCCCACATACTTCCCTGTGTTTCCCGTCCCAAACCCATACGCGCCTAACACTGCCTTCCCGTCCACCAAGCACTGGTCCTGCAACTCACTCGGATACATGCACTGACACCCACCTCCCTCTAGCCTCTCGCAAGCATAACTCCTCTTTCCAAACTCATTGACCATCATCCCGCGGAATACATACGCCTGGTAGTCAATGTAATGGAAGACATACCTCCAAAATACATTCAGCGTATCGGGCTGCACCATGAACCCATTCACGCACATCCAAAGCCCATTCGCAAACGCCGTGGCAGCAAGTGCCACAACGAATATAGGAATGAGGCTCGAAAGCAACACCACCAAAGACTCTGCAGCCAGCAGGTCCAGGAACAGCCAAAGTACCCACATCCAAAACCCCTCTGCACTCGGTCTGAAACCCCCTAGCCAATAACTCACCACGCTGAACAGCACGGTGATGAGGAAGAGGTACGGAATTCCCACGATAAAATTAGCCAGCATGAACGCCGTAGGTCCGTAAAGCCCATTCGCGCGTTCTTTGGAGTAAATAGCGAGGTCTTCGAGGTACGCGGGGATATAAGCGACGGCCATGAAGGACATGAAGGCGCCACCGAAGAAAATAGCGTTGGTAAATGCTTGGATGTTGGATTGGGTGGGAGAGAGTCGCAGCCAGACTGTGCCCATCATGATAGCCAGACCGAGATACATGGCTATTCGGATGCCGTACGCGACGATATCGCGGTGGGATTTGATGAAAGAGCGGTGGACCAGGGGTAAGAGGGTTGAGAGAGCAGATACGCGTGTGCTGGAAGAAGTGGGCGCAGAGGATTGGGGGGAACTGGATGGCATTTTGGCGGCGACGCGGAGGTTTGCGGACAGTGTTGCTGCTGCAGGGGATGTGGCCCAGGAAGTGTGGAGATGGGAGAGGCGTTGCGATGCGGCGGTGTCGTCTTGGGAGAAATCAGTGTTGATCAGGTCGATAACAAACTCGGCTGGATTAGTGTACAACGGCATCTTTTGGTAATCATGTTAGTTGTCGTCGCCTTCGCAACACAATAGAATGTAGACTTACCTCATATCCCAGTCCCTCGAACCACTCCTTGACTCCCTCAACCTCGCCATTGTAAACGCACTTCCCCCGGCTCAACAACATCAGCTTGTCAAACAACCCAAAGGTCGCAGTACTCGGCTGATGAATGGACGCAATCACCAAGATCTTGTACTTCTTCGCGATACCCTGAACGAACTTGATGACTTCGTAGCTAGCCGCAGAGTCAAGTCCACTTGTCGGTTCGTCGAGGAAGAGTATCTTTGGGGACGTGATCAGTTGACTGGCGACGCTGACACGTCTTTTCTGACCGCCAGACACACCCTTGCGGATGGGCGTACCGATCAGTGTATCGGCTTGGGCGGTGAGGCCGAAGGATGACAGGAGAGAAGTTATAAGGGCCTTGCGGGAAGCTGCTGGTACGGAACTTGGGAGTGCGAGTTGAGCGGCGAAGTAGAGTGTTTCGCGGACGGTGAGGGAGCCGATCAGAGCGTCTTCCTGCTCGACGTAAGAACTCATTTTGCGAAACGACGATAGTGCTGTTGGGGCACCGTTGATGCGGAGGGTTTGTTGAATGGTGGCTTTAGGTATCGCGGCGCGGTGGGCAAGGATGTTGAGGAGGGTAGTTTTTCCAGAGCCACTGAAGTTACTACGTTAGATGTCTGTCTATAGTCTGGGTGAGGATGGTATGAACGTACCTGGGACCCATCAGAGCCATCATCTCGCCTGCTTCAATCATTCCGCTAACGTTGGAAAGAAGATCAATTGGCTCTTTCGACACCCTGTCTTTGACTGTGACCGTGACATCTTCCCAACTGAAGCTCTTCACTTCATCATTGCTTAGATGCGCATAGTCTGAGCCTGCATTGCCTTTCTCAACGTCTCTTGTGGTACTAGATGATGACATGACTGAGAGATCAAGTCTAAGCGGTGTGCTTTGTGTAGTTCACTACACGATCAAAGTAATCTGACTGGAAAAGTGGGCAAGAACAGCGGTATATACTAAATGATGTAGAAGAAAAGGATTGGTGTAGTAGGGGGGTAGGAATGAAACCGAAATCCACACTTTTCGATGAACTATCTATTCAAGAAGCGATTGAATGCGAGATGGAGTGGAAGATGTCAAGACTATGTAAAGACAGCTCCTAGATAGGAGCAAAAGTATGGGGGCCAAAAACTCTATGAAACCCGCAAACCCACCTCCATCTCCTTCCCAAGCAGTCAGACATACGTGAACGCCGATGGTCTGCAGTACCAAGAAGTCCCCGACGGTCCGATATTACTGTCATCGGCGAGAAGTCACCGGAAGGGGTGGCCTTATTCACAAAGCCAGGCTGTTAAGATTCTGTGCAGAGATCATCATAACCTATGAAGCCAAGGTTCAGAGATCAGTAAGCATCTCAGATCAACCAATCGTTTGTGTAATCATGTTCAGCCCACGGTACCGGTATGGTGGTTTGGCAATGTGTTGTTGCGCTTGGCGCAGAGCGGCTGGAGGGTGACATGCAGCTTACTTCCCCGTTATTGGTTTCTGGAACACGCCTGGAGAACAACGTCCGTGTAAAATTGCCAGACACCGGTTTTCGGGGTTTTCACCAGAACATTGTTTTGAAAGGTAGTATAGTATCGCGCCCACTTCTATTCGGATCTGGTTAGTGCAGCCCAGAAACCCGGCGTTCCAAGTCCTGAGACGTGGCGATCCGGAACAAGTAGCGGTGGGAAATCTCGAAAGTGCTCGTCATGTCATATCGGATCAGCGAATATGTTGTCTCGGGGTGTGCAGCTGAAGCCCTATCCCGCAAGCTAGCTGGGTGGCTTGCATCTCCACCCCTGTCATCTCGGCGACGTTGTGGAGTGCACGGACGCCACCTGGTGCGACGTCGCCGACTGCATTTAAGGCTGAAGATGCACGTTGCGGCTACACAAAAAGTCAGCAGATGAGAGGCGCCTTTAGCGGCTGATGTAAAACGCATTTCCATTTCGTTCAACACAAGGATAATATAATACTATGACTCCGCCTTTGTTCTTTCACAAACGGTCGCTACTATCCAGCTGGGGTACTGAGAAGACGAGAACCAACGCAATTCTAATACATGAACTCACTGATCTCGAGTAATTGCGCATCCAACGCCCTCTTCGCTTGCACACTAGCCTCCCTATTCTGATCATTAAGCCTCTCTTCATAGATCATCTGCAACAATTTCTTGACCTCCTGCTCCCCAAACACGTCACCCGGCACACCAAAGCCCTTACCATACTCTTTCGCTCGCGCGACAATCGCATCTGGGCCTGCGGTGAAGAGGTCGAAGAAAAGGGCTGCATAAGGTAACGTAGCGCCGTCTTCGATGTTCTTGAGATTCTGCTGGAGGACCAGGATGTTGAGTTGCATCAATGCACATCCGTTGGTATTCATGCGTGTTATTTTGGAAGTGCAAAGGTTGAGGAGGTAGGTGTCCATTAGGGTTGCTAGACCGCGTGTTATGTGCATGTAAGACGCGACCGGGATGTAGGTTGATACTTCGGTATCGAAGGAGACGAGTGTGGCGTTCAGGGCGAGGATGGCGGGGTCGGGGTCGCTGAGTAGAGTGTCGATGTAGACATTGGGTTGTGTGCTCGCGTTTAGCGAGTGTAGGATGGTCGAACGGATTGACAAGTGCAGTGTCCGTAAGACGCGGGTACTGAGAGCATGATAGGTTTGTACTACTGCGTCAAATATACTGTATGTTGGTCAGTAAAAGGGGGTTCTTGCAAGCGCCAAGAATACTTACGCAGCTGTGTCTGCACTTAATGGGAGATACACCTGGGCGCTCTGTGGCCTAGGATCGGCCGAGGAAAGTTGAGTCCAGCGTCTGTTGTGCCTCTGACCATTTGACTCCGCGGCAATCGGGTCAGACGCACGATCACTGATATGCCGTAGTTGCGCCGTCTTGGTAGCCAGCCATTTCATACTTGTGTACAGCAAACAGAGGCTGACAATACTCTTCCTATCCTGGATCATATCTGCCTGGTCCAGAGGCTCATCAGCTTCTACTGCTTCGATCAGAAGATCAACCTCGTTCTCGATGGCTTTGTTCAACTCCTCATAATCTGATGGGTCTGTTCGCACGAGGCGGGCAATGAGCTCTTCCATTGCTTCAGACTCCGCCCACACGGCAGGAGCCTTCATAAGACGACCACTTGCCGTAGGCTGCGATCGACTAACAAGAGCCTTGTACCAGCCACTACATTTTTGGGCGTATGTGTCCATTTGGTTGACGATGAGTTGGGAGAAAGCTTGATCATGGGGAAGGTTGTCCAACATCTTGCAGAAAGCAGTGATAAGGGTAAAGAATTGCGCAGTGCCCTGGTCAAATTAGTATATGATGCACACATCATCAGTGCATGACGTACCTTGAAGATGGGCTTCTTGGAATGTCTCGACCAATGTGGGTCCTCGTTGAATGAGTCGATCTCAATGAAAGTTTGAGAACATAACTCGATAAGGGTCTCGTCCAGCTGTGGATGGAAGACATTGACCAAGAAATCGTCTAGGAAAGAAGTCAAAGTACTCATGCTGATATCAGCATTTGAAGGCACAACCTCCTTTAGTCGGTTCAAAAAGTCTAGCGATGGCGGTAACAGAATTCCCATGTTGAAGACACTGGGCTCAACCAGAAGTTTGTGTCCGGTCGCACTGCCATCAAGATTGGTAGTCGTGTTAGTATTGACATCCTCTGGTCTCTTTGAGTCGGACACGAGTCCAGGCACGGATGTCTTGAGAATGATCTCTAGATCCTCTCGTTCTTTGGAGAGCTCTGTCGCCTTCGTATCCACGTCCGACAGCTTGAACATGCGCTTATTCCGGTCTCGAGGAGCGCGCGAGAACGCACTGCTGGTGGAGGCCTGACCTTGACCGCCTCTATAAGATGCTTCACCGTCTGTAGCAAGATAGTCGTGGAGAAGTGATCGCATCTCGCTTTGGTACAACTTCCACAATTCCTTGAAACCGCGTGTCAATGTTGCGCTTGATGCAGCTCGGTTTTCTCGTCGAACGATACCAGCCACAACGTCATGCACGACTCGATGACTTTCTGCAATCGCTTCGAACCGGGCATACAGAGTCCACATCAAATCGTTCAGGAGGGTCGTCCGGACATCCTCATTTTCGACTTCAGTCTTTGCTTTGCCCTTCTTCTTAGCCGAGTAGGCTCGTAGTATGCTCGGGTGTCGTTGCGCGACTTCATTGTTGGACTTGTCCACAACTTTGAAGAGTTCGACTGGCAACCGCTGTTCAATTGTATCCACTGCCATGTCTAGACGGCTCATCTTGTTCAGCGCCTCTATGACCAGTCGTATGTACTGGAATGTGTCTGTCTCAGGATTGTGGGTGGAATCGTCCGTCATCTGAAAATGTCAGTAGGATACATGGTAGAGTTGGGCACACATACCGGTTCTGAAGTATCGAGACCGTCTAGGAAATAGTAGAGCAAGCGGCCTCTTGCGTCAGTCTGAGCGCGCTGAGACAGATCGCCCTTGACCTGGTTCTGAGCATACTCCTTCCATCTGTCTTCGCAGTAAGGCGATTTGAGGTAGAGATGGCTGTGAAGTTCTTCGATCAATATGTCGGTCAAGGATACTTCTTGGTTGCTAAGATATGTGCGCAAGTCAGACAGGGCTCCGATCTTCTCCATTTCAGTCTTTCGTATCATTCGTAGAGCATCCTGTAGAATATCTACAGCTGTGAGAAAACGCTTCTCTGATATGCGAGCTTCCAGTCTCTCGGGGACGAGTTGGAGTTTCTCAATCGTATCAAGCATTTGCAACATCTCATCGTAATTCTGGGAGGTCGTAGCGAACTCTTTAAGTTCCGGCTTGGCCGTGGAGAGTTGTGACTTGGCCGCAACAAGTGAACCTTTAAGAGTTCTGACACGGTGTTGGGAACTCTGGAGACTGGACTGAATCTGATGGAAGGTACCAATGGAGCTGTTGAATCCCTGATGGTGTTCGTTGACGATGCCTTTCAGAGCGTTCTGCAGCTGATCATGTGTTTGCTGAAACTGACCAGCCTGGTTTGCCAGGCCGAGCGAACTCGAATCCATGAGCTTCAGGGCGACTTCGATAGGGACGCATTGGTCCTTGGTCATGAATTCCCAGTTTTGTTGTATGTATTGAAGAACCTCCTCGATCGCCTGGCTACCTTGTCCATTGTTTGCGTTCCTGGGCCGGCTCCCGTTCTGTCGCTCTCCGCTACGGCGTTTCGCTGGGCTGCGTTCAATGCTGGTAGGCCGTGTGACTTGACGAGGGCTCTCGTCACGCCCTGCAAAGCCGCCTCCTCCATAGCCCCCTGGCCGGCGCTCGCGGTCGGCGCTGGGTCTTCTTTCCATGTCATCTTCCTGAGCAAGGCCGCCATAGCCACCAGGTCGTCGGGGACGTTCGCGCTCGTTGCTCGGTCGTGGTGCATAGTCGTCCTGCTGCGCGCTCATGCCACCGTATCCGCCCGGTCTTCGTGGTCGCTCACCACTCGGTCGGTCGTCGTAGCTGCCGTCACCGCCCGCGTATCCATTATATCCTCCGCCAGCGTAGTTGCCGTTGCCATTGGCGTAGCCTCCATTGGCTCCCGCCCGCGAGTAGCCTGGATTGCGCGACATGGTGCACTCAGATGTCGCGCAGTGTTGTGTTCCTTGTGTTCCTTGTCCTTACATTCATGGCGCGCAATAGTGAGGTTTGCGCGTCATCGGGTATCTATGTGGTGCATGTGTACTGTTGCGGGGAGCTCGGGGGTGTTGGAGTAGCAGGGATCCCAGAAGTCGCGAATGTCAATGCAATGGAAAGGGAAGGACCGAAGATGAACTGGACGACACAACGCGAGGTGCGCAGGCGATTATTATATCAAATGCCTTTCACATGATACATGACATGATATGATGT